CGAACACTAACCTAAAGGGTAACACCCAGAAATTGGAGACACAACATAGCAGAACGGACTGTAGACACAACTTCTACTCCTCAAGAGTTGTCAAGTGCTGAAGTTCGCTGTCGACCGAGCTAATCCAAGCGACTTCCCGGGAGTCGTTTAAGAGGCAGCTGGATTTATTCTTAAGGACTAAGTATAGTATCATACTATGATTTACCAATTTCTCTTTCCTCTTTTATTGTTAACATACCTAGGTTCCTGCCTGGAGGTTTTGTTAACCCCCTGCTACTAAACACAGAAGCCTGTTAAGCGAAAGCTTCTTCTATTCCGTCCACAACCATTTGAAACCATAAGATCTATTTGTTTACCGCTACAGCTGTTTACGTACACGTATTTGAATTTCAAGGTCTTCCTGTTTTTTTTTTGTTTCTGACATTTCTGTAACGTCTTTTTCATTATTTCATTAAAGAGTTTATTTTCCCTTTTGTATGATTTTCACTTTAACCAGTGATTTTCAGAGGCATACATAAAACTGGCATTCAGTCACTTATTTAAATCAGTTATGTGACAGTATAAAGTGTATTTTGATGGAACAGCATCGCCTCCAAAATTCGATAACTGCTTTTACTTAACTTGAGGGTCATCAGTGTGTCGTTACCTTGTGAAAAAAACACCTGAATTCAGACAAGAGACTAGACTCACTTCACCACAGTCACCCGATTTCGTGGAAGCCGCAATAGAAAACTTTTGGGAAGTTTTAATAAAATGTCACAAAACTCTAAGAATCACCTCAGTACTGAATGTTCAGAGATAAACTGCGTTGTACAAGACTTATAAATTTTTCCTGATAGTAAGAAAAAAGAAACTGAAACTGTTGCATTTTGTTGCCGGATGTTTGTTAGTAACGCTTACACGAGCAACTTTGCCCAGGCTTTTAGTTTGTTATTGCTATGGCATAGCAGAAAGCTTCAGGGTACAGACATTTTATAAGGTCATTATTATCCAGTTAAGTTAAAGGTGAAGCCATAGCGTGACCATAATTTCGTCACTTAAGATTTCTAAAAATATTAAAGCACCAACTCTGACAGCAGAAAGGAGCATGAAGTATCCTTGCATCAAGGATCCTAAAGAATTAACGTTATTTCTCAAACAATGCCATTGTTCACATAACTTGCGAAAAAATTAGATATGGTTGTAGACTCGATTTAATCTCAATAACACTAGCAAACTGTCATCATTGTAAAAGCTCATCAAATACAACGCCGGGTCGACTTCGTGTATAACGGTAATAGAAGCTGAACTATGAGACAAATTCCCCATTTAACCTCGTTCACCAACCGCATTCTAACTCTCACTATGTAACTACAGTAATAAAAGCTAGATACCAATTTTTTCGGTAGAATTTATTTCGTACGTTCTGTTACTCAAACATACAATAAGCATCGAGGTGAAAATCATTGTGTACCCAATTTTAGTAAGCGTCATTCAGCACTTATAGTCAGGCAGACAAAAGCAAACTAAAAACAAGAAGCGAATGGAGTAAGCGAGGGAAAATATTCACACAAAAAACACCCAAGGTTGCTAGTTAATAATGGACTAGGGTATATATACAAAGTAACCCAAAATGATCAGGTGAATTTTCTTGTCCAGAAGTTGGAATAAATTCATGTAAGTTACTATGTGACCCCCCTGTAAGAAATTGTGCAATAATTTTTGAAAGTTTCTAAAAAAACTATTCGCAAAAGATATGCAAAAAGCGTTTGACGGGCAACAAAATAATGTACTAATTTAAGCAAAGTACAATGCTAATTGAAAGTTGAGTGTGTGATGTGGAAATGCTGCATTTTCGTAACAACAAGTATGTATATCGTGTAAGTACGGAGACATTTTAAGATGTTATCAATAGAATGCTATCCTGTCTCGGTAATTAAACATCTTGTTGGAGACCGTAACCTCTGTAGTATCATTTGATTAGATGGCTTTGAACCATCTTTCAAATCTATCGGTACGTGTTAGTATTTATTTTTATTCTCTAAACGGACCAACTCTGTTTACATGGACGTGCTTTAATCTGTTATCTGGTTTCGAAAATGTTTCAATGAATAGACAGTATATCAATCGACTTAAAACCGATGGCAGGCTAGAAAAGCCTGTGCTCACTGTCGGATATCACTGTTCTATTTCCTCCGTGACTATCTCGAGTTACTTTGACTGAAGTCCTGACTCGTGATTATAGAATCCCATGTAATTTGCAAACAGTCTCTTTCATTTTATAGACATGTCACAAATGTTTTAGGATTATCCATGTTCATGAAATCTCTTCAATCAGCCGTGACGTGTCAACCCTATCCTAAACCCTTAGTAGTAAATCTCTTAAATGTATACGACCACTGACGTGACTTAAATTTCGGAATACGGATTTAATAAGTGTCGTCTGTTTAAAATCCGATTGTCGTCATTGACGTTTATACAAATCAACTTTAAGGATCCACCCTAAGACTTTTATAATGGAATGTATAGATCTAGATGATAAGTCTTGTGGATTGAACGCTATATTCGTCTCCTAAGCTATTCTGTAACCCCCAAGCTAGAACTATACAGCGACCTGAACACGAGAGAGAAGACTCAAAGTATGCGAGTAGTTTACTTCAAGGTTCATTTTAATACGGAAAATACAAGGTTTTTATAATATTTTAAATGTTCTTGGGTTGCTAGAAGATTATGGAATGCTACTAGACATAGTAGCAGTACAGCAACCAGCCAATCAGAACCTCTATATGCGACGTTCCGCTTCCTTGATATTTTTGGCAAAAACTCCAAGTGAACGCTGATTAGAGGAAACGCTTCTTAGTGTTTCCTGATTCTTGCTTATCTCTTGCGAGAAATTTGCCGGATCACCCCAACACTAGAGATTTCGTTAGTTTGCATAAATATTCAGTAAACTTAAAGCTCAGTCGCTTCAGAGTTTTTTCCCAACCATTTAGTGACATGTCTGCGTTTTACTTTAAATTATTTAGTTGGAGTTGTTGAAAGACATATTTAATCCACACACAGAGAAATATAGTATAAAAATGAAAATCATTTACTGGCGTACATCATTTTCATGATTAAAGATATCAACACGAAATTTTTGCAAAGCAACGAGTTAAGTAAATCCTAAAGTGTAAATATGTCAGTCATAACAATTTCTATTTTTAAACTGTGAATACTGAATATGCTAGTTCGATTTTTTCTTATTTTCAGATTATATATGTACTGATATTTTCACCTGCAGTCTTTCCCAGTTATTGCCAGTTACAAGTCATCGAGGTGTATCGTGTGACCAACCTAAATATGATAGAAAACCAAGATTCTATTGAGCTCAAAAATTATAAAAAACTAAAAAATACATACAAACTCTTTTGTGTGGGTTGTGTCGTTTTTCTTACTGGGTTTCTTTTCATATTTTTTGGCCGTCCATACACATTTGATCGAACAAACAAGGATTTGTTCTTTGTTTTTGGACTGGTTTTTATTTTCCCCGGATCATTCATAACATTGTTGTCAGCGTATTTTCTTTTTCGTCTGTGGAATACTTCAAATGACTTCATAAAACTTAATAAAACTCCTGTTTATCCTGAAGATACAGTTGAAGACCTTGTACCTCCTGAGAAACAATTGGTTGAACCCATAGAAACTTCTCCTAATTTTTCTAAATTTGGTTTAGACTTAAATGAACCTATATGAACTATCAACACTAACCAAAACAATCATTCTACCTATTACGTGTTTTCTTGTTTTACAGTCATTTGGAGGCTTACCAGTCTTTTTGTATAGAAAATAAATAATGCACATATTCAGTTTTTCTATTTTTTTTATTTACCCGAAACAAATTGACTTTTAATTAAAAGTTAAAGTTTTAACTTGTATATACTCTAAACTGCTTTATATGTATGTCCCACTTTGTATGTACCATCTTCGATTTGATGTAGAAGAGGAAAATAATCAGCAATCCCGTTTGTTCTAATAAGTCTAAATGTAATCTGAACTGATTATGGTTTTTGGTACAAACGTTCTCATTGTTTTTTTCACCATAAGTTGAATAAATATGAAGCACTAAAGTTAATGAATATGTAGTTATATGTTGTTGAAAACGTGAATCTAAGCTCACATCACTTTGACCACTTTCGATGGTTTAACTTCAAACTATTTTGTCGGGTACATTTGCTAAAGGTGAACACCACATTACATAGAAATTATGGTATAGAAATCACTCTCGTGTTGCTTGTTCATTAATGCTGTCAAAGTTACTATCATCACGTTTACCACGTATTTATATAATCAAGTAAATCGATGTATCAACCTACTATATTCTGATTGTTTGCGCGTGAAACTTTTGAATAGCCTCAGTGTTATATTTTAGATGAAACTTAGTTTCAGTAATTTATGACTCCAAACACTAAAATTCATGCTTACCGCTTCCAAATGTATATATTCAAAGTCTTAAAACAATAATTTAGGCCAAGATAGAGGTTTTGTCATTCTTAGATGACATGATATTGAATATTCTGTTAGAGGCAAAATCATCACAATGGATGATAAATAATATGGAAACTCAAAAGATAATCCATCATATATATTATTTAGAGGCTATAACTATTAGTAGTTGTGTTAATTCATTAAAGTCTGTCTTTCATCTTTTGGTTCGAATAAAGTATAAGTTTTTTATGATTTTGTTGACCCTGGATGAAAAGTGTTGATAAGTTGTTATGAAGAACTTTGATCTACAACTAGTGATAATAGGAAGACAAAAGAGTAAATACTTTTTTGTTTAAATCAGGCTATTACATGAATAACTAATGCTATTGTACAAAAGATGAACTTTATCTTAGACAGTGATGCAAAAACTTGTACGACTGTCTCATAAAGATCATCAGCTACACTAATTTACCCAAAACAGGTAACGTGAATATGTGTAACACATATGTTCGTCCCGCTTCCCACCTCACTATAATTTACACTGTAATCCGACCCGGGAAAATTTTTATGTGATCAAATTAAAATATTTTACAAGGCCATACAATCAACAACTAATAGATCGTCTGAGTATTAAGTTTATTTTTCAGTATGCTGGCACAGGTAAAAAGTTGGTCGCAAACCAAATCGCCGCATATAGGAAATCAAACTGGTTTTATAATAATAATGGTGATAATAAAAATGAACAACTCATTGAAATGATTCTCTATCATGAAGTCTTTTGTTGTCTTAGTTCTTCCATTGATCCTTTACTCACAACTCATGGTGTATAATAAAAATCAATTGTTTGTCAAGTATCGCAGATTTTAGACTGTTCCTAACAATTTTCAATTTGATGTATCAATCCTTAAGATTGTCAACGAAAGAAATCTATCCAATTTAACTTCAAATAAAAGGTTTTATTTGAATTACGATCATTTTCACAAGCACTGTTAATCGATAGTTAGATTCTATGTAAAATGCATCCAAAATCATGGTTGATTAATTCAACAACGTTTAACTTTTCGGAAATATGATAATTTGTGTTAAAATCATTCAGAGTTTCCTTTATCAAAATGATAATTTAGTAGGGTACTTAGAAATGGGAAAATAAACATTCACGTTTTTCTCTTAGTTATATGATCGTAGATAACAACTTGAAGATACTTGTCAGTTTCAACTATTGTTCTTTTGGAATTATCACCAGGGGATGCAGCCTGAAATGAATAAAAATTAAACAGTGCGATATTTAATTACAAGACATATGGTGTAAAAAAAGTGATATTTTCGTAGTATAATAAATTCAGGGATCAACGTTTTTTATTTGTAGAACAATCTACAAATTACGCATTGACCATGGAATTATAAAAATGTCCCCTAGAGGTAATTGTTTATATTCATTTAAAAATATGAATTAAAAATCTTGGGTAGTGTTGCTTCTATCATGAGGATTGAAAACTAAGGGAACAATTTAATTTTACTGATACAATCAAATCACTAGTTAGACATTCATTATGCTGACAAAGTTTGAAAATATATTAAATAAATAATAAGACTGGATTTAAGTTATACTTAATGTTTGGATTCAGTCAAACCATCTACACAAATCTTATGATTAGTACAAGGAATTGATATACAGTAATCAAGTCCTTATCTATTTTTTAAATTTCATTTAAAGCTAATCATGTTAACATCAGACTTAGTTAATAAGGTTCGGAAGTGTGGTAATGTACAGTTTAAAATATTCCGCCATTATCCATAAACGTTTAGTTCTCTCATGTGATGATTGGTAAGGAAGCCTGAAATTCAAATGTATAATGAGCTATTAATAAAAGCTGTCTAAATTCAGGCCTGAAAAATTCATACTTGAATAATGCTAGAAATTCATGCAATTTTTCGATCAAAACTTACGAAACAATAACTTACAGTTGAGTCAACATTTAAAATTTTTCTATCACGTTTATTCTTCAAAAGAAGGCCATTAGGATTTTCTGTTATTACAGTATAATTCGGTGATGAATTGGCTACAACATTGTGAGTTTCCCAATTGTAGAAACTAAGAATTAAGTTAACGTATATTTACATATATTAGTTCTTGTGTGGAATATTCATACTTCAAACAGTTATTTGTTAATAAAAGCCAACTTAGGTGTTGATTTAAGATAAGTGTGTGTCCTTGTTTCCAAATGGATGAATTAGTTGGGAGACTGAGCTTAAGGTAGTTAAAAATGAATAGGTGGAGAGGACTTCATTCTCAAGAATTTGTGAATAACATTAGAAATTTAAGAACTATAGATTGGATATATTGTATTTATAAGAATAAGAGTGAGCATTTTAAATACGTGCTGCGGGATTATTTAAAATCTTTGGAAACGTAGAAATGAAAAGCATATCGTCAGAAAAACCAACCAAATACATCCTACCATGCAGTCATCTTTGATGTAAAAACTACTTTATGTTTCACTTTAGAATAGTTAAACACATTTTTAGAAAAATACCCAGCCTGATTATTCCTTCAGTTTTTTAAAGGATTATAGTGTGCATAAACTTCCTTAGCTAAAATGGCCTTATTTAACAAAATTGTGGTATTTTAGGAAGTTAAATAGCTGAGTATGAGCCCGGAAGTCAGTTAGTAATATTCACCTTATAAACTAGGATATTTGTGCATCGGTTTAAGTTGCTACATCACATTAACGAAGAGTAAAAGTTATCAACACAAATGGTAGAGTGGTAGAAGTAGCAGCATCAGCAGCAGTAGAAAATGTTAGATATATAAAAATGAAACACCCATGAAGCGATTTCGGGACTCATGATCTAAAACGATGTGAAGAATGAGTGCACCTGGGTCATTACGAACGACTGTGAGCCATATCATTCAACTTCTACAACCATTGGTTATGATTATCACTCGGGTCCCAATCAGGTAGTTTGTATTTACCAATATGTCTGCCACACAAATAACTTCCAAAACTGCTATCACGTATTGATTTTTCGGACCCTACCTTTCTTTTAACCTACTTCTATTTCAGATAAAACCTCTCGACGAGATAGGCGGTGGTTGGGCCTACGTGGTGCATATCCAAACCACCTCGGCTGATGAGCCTTCATTACCTCATCAACCTAATAAACACCTTCATTTAAAATCTTATGCTTAACATTAGCACTGATCGATTGGTGGTCCCAAAATACTCAATCTATGTTTTAAAATACTTAAAATCAAACAAAAGTAACCTCCAAGTGTCCTTTAGTTTTAATGATCATGCTTAGCATCCATAAAGTGGGATAAAGATTGCTGTTGCACAGTATATTTATCTTTTAGTTAGCAGACGAGGATCTTACCTACTTTACAAGTGACACATTTTGACAAAGGCCAATTAGGCTTTCTGAGTCTGTTTCGAAACTTGGTCATAAATGCATGTAGATCAACGGTTTCAATATTACTGGGAAGTTCAATTACTGCATACTTATTGTACCATGGTTGATGCAGTGGAACTTTGAGGCTTTAGAAACACTTCGTTTATTCAATATCTTAAAATAAAATGTCTTTCAGTTTTTGTATTTTGATTCTTTTGCGAACCTAATGATATAACTATGGGATTCTCTGAATAAAATCATATAAAAACAAACTGCTGTCTATTAAAAATAGTAAAATCGACTTGCTAAGCAAATTAAACACACTGTTTTACAATATACCTTAGATCTCCTGTTCTTGGGAGCAACTTTTTCTTTTCTTTAAAGTACACTGTGAAGTCCTCAGATTTCAAACGATGTGCATAATCTATGTAGCCCGATATTTCTTGACCACGTGAATTCTTATCTCTAATAAAAATAATAGTCTAAAAATATAAAAGTTTAAAATGTAATGCAGAAGTTATGTATCAGTTAATTTAAAAAAGCATATTGTTAAGGTTGTTGTTGAAAAGTTAGGGAAATATTACCCAGGTGGTCAGACTGAAGTTAACAAAATGGGTCCTACGTTTAAATCTTAGTGGGTGTTTATTAAGGGCTTGAACCAGTAGGATGGTTTATAAGAAAGGTAACATATAAATAGTGGGCTGCAAATAACTCACATGGCCAGTGTTTTATTCATTTTGTAGAAGCAGGCGTTACAAATAACAAATGTCTTTTGGCCATGTCGGCCCTAGATTTTCAGGTATGAAAACTATTTGATAAGTTGATTTTTGGATTGTGTTGGTCATGATAATTAAGCAATACGTCCTTTCAGTCAGCAACTCTCTATTAAGGTACATATTTACAGCTAAAAAAGGGTTTCAGATCAGTTGGGTACAAATAAGAAGTTAGGCCATACAACTAGAAGTGACAGTAAGTCAAGGTATATATACTAAGTTAGTTATTACTGATTTTCGCCACTGATACTTCAAAGGACATGTGATAAACACTGTGAAGTATTAAAATGAGGGCCTCATGGAACGTTTTCAGATAGCTTAAACGATTACCTGTATTGTTTAATCACTACGAGATTGAGGTTAAACCTTTATTTTTGCAGAGTTCTAAATTCGTAAGATTTAAAAACTATCAATCTGTGTTCTTACAGTTTTGTAGACACATTATGACTTCAGATGATGACAGTGATGATTAAATGAAGGTTCAAATTAACTTCATATATATTCTTAAAAATTAGGGTGTCAGAATCAATGAGAATAGTGTTGAGGATGCAACAATTCGTACATATGTTTTACCAGACAGAAAAGGGAAACAAACAAATATCCATAGGGTACAGATTATCGAAATTTCGGAAATCAATCTTGTGGCTAAGATCGATGAATTAAGATTGACTCAACATTTAAAGTCAATGTATGGTAACCCAGCTATACTGACACATACATACAAGAACACATATATTAAGACATGCATGAACAAACTTAAATAACTACACCCACGCAAACACGTACTGTTGTGTAGTATGGTGTCGAATTTCCATACTGATAAAAAGCCTATTCATACATGAGCCAAACTAACTATTAGAGTAACAAAACTGAAGGTGAAACAGTGCATTAACAACTAAAGGGAACCGGGAATGACTGATTTCTGTGGTCTAATATATCGCGTACTATGAAACCAAAAACGATCAACAATGAGATTTGGGTTGATCCTTTAATTCATTTACCTAAACTTTTGTCGTGTGTTTTATGCCGGCTTCCACAAAATTATCTTACGAAGCCAACATATGGCCAAATAGTTTGTAATATTTACGAAGTTTTCAAATGATCTAAATAGATGAGATTCTCTTAGTGTTTTAAGATTTACTACCTCTACTTTCAAATGCTAAAAAATGTTACTTACGGACATTTGACCAGTTCGATTAGAACCTTCCCGCTCAGCTAAGGCTTGGAGAAATGGACACGTTATCTTCAGACCGAAAGAAGACAATGCACTAAAACAAACGGAAAGTTTTATAAGAATACTGGTTTATGTGCCTAAAAATTTGTTCTCAAAGATGATCTTGTCATGAGATTATGTTAAAGCGATTTTTCATTTAAGGTGGGGCGGTAAAATATCTGTTTTGATAACGTATATTAGCAACAGGTAAATTAAGACTTGAGTGTTTATAAATTTATATTTCAATATCTTAGGAGAAACAATCCAGACCATTTGAGTACGATGGTAAAAAAGCTACTGAGTATAAAAAGGAAGAAAGTGATTCTAGAGAGAAGCTAGAGTGAACTCCTAGTTTGGATCACTATTTTAGTAATCGTATACTTCACAAAGTCATTACTTTTACCTTATTTTGAGAAATAACGTAAATTCTAAGAGGAAAAACAGTCATAGTGAACAATCCACAAGTTTCTTTTACTGGCTTAGTAGTTTTGTAGAAATGAAATTAATGTTTTTGAGGAAATGAGTTTTTTACTATAAGTGAAAACCTAACTAGTTCTGTCAAGAAACTAAACCGTGGTTGAGTGTTCAACCATGGTGCGTTAATGTTCAATAAGTTTTTTCAATAATTTATCAGTAAAATGCTGTGAAACGTAAAACACTTTGTTCTTTAATAGGCAGGCGAAATGTGGGCGAAATATTAGGAATGTATGTCTTCTAAAGATACAGCAATTCAAACGTGTTACTTCTAGATAACTAAATCGCTTCATCTACCTCAAGTTCGTAATAGAGCAGCTGAATTCCATAATAAAAAGAAGTAATAACCAGATTGATGTTGAAAATCTGACCACTGATTCTACCAAGAAATTTATTTCTCACCCTTTTTACTCTGCAAAACCTGTTCCACGGTTTTAAAATTGAATGGTGGTATGTTCAGAAGTTGTGCAAAATCACTTCAAGTAGAATGGGTAACTTATATAATCCTTATCACTCAGTAATTTTGATGATAGATACTACACCTCAAGCAGCCGAAAAAGAGAAGGTATGGAGTACGTCCTGAAAGGAAATAAGAGGAGGATTAGTCGATAAACTCCAAAACTTCTCCGCCCGCCATGGGGGAATAGCTGGACATTTCCCTTAAATATGCCACAGATATACGGAGTTTGACAACATTTTTACAAGTGACACTTTTTAGATTGCACGACATCAACCCGGTCAAATTAAAAGACAGATAGCGAAGATGTACAGAGACATGTTTGGGAAGATAGCGATATGTCGAAAAGTGTTCTATCTAAGTTGGCTAATGGTTATAAGGGATGAGTAGCACGGCGTACTCACTAATGATCTGGTGCGAATGTGTGATCAAGAGCCTTCAAATAAGTATCTCCAGTAAAGCTAATGAGGTCAGAATCAATGACAAGGACTTACAGAACAAATTATTTTGGGGATCTATTTACTGCTATACCATTTTTTGTCTCTAGATGTTTGACATGTCGCTCAGTTACCTGCATTTTATCTAAACACACTTCAAATTACCTAGATTTTGTGCAAGCCGTTGTACAGCATTCGAGCTCAAAAATAAATAAAATGCATTGCAATAATATTAAAAACAACAATAAAATTTGGCTAAAGCCAAATATTAGTTATGAAGATCAATGTGTACGAGTTTGCATACACATATACAAGCCTTAATGCTGACCGACGACGGACAAATATGTGTACACGAAAACATACAGATCATAACAATATATTTTGAAGACAAGTGATAGAAAGCTGAAAAATGTGCAGACCAGGTACCTAGTAATTTACTTTTTTTGTTGCTCTTTAGCTAGCATTGCCTCAGCAAGTGCTTTCTTACGACTGTTGAACTCCTCACGTTTGAGTGTTTCACCTGATCCTCTGTAACCTAGTTCAACAAGTTGTCGAGCTATTTCTTCATCCTTAAAATGTTCAGGTAATGAATAAAGAATATGGTGAACCTCCAAATAAAAAAGATCAGTGGCCGTTATCTGAGAATCTAGATAGTCTTCATATGTTTCAAACTGTGCTACAGCATCATCTATTCCAACAGATGAAGATATCTGGTCATCGGAGTTAGTTGTCATCAAGTTGTATCGATCCAACTTATATTTCTGCGTCTCATTGCTACGTTGATCAACTGAAATAGTACAGTCAAACAAATCAAAACCCAAATAGAAATGATCTTAACCTTACTCATAGAAAAATTAGTCTTCAAAATGAAAAAGTATTTTAATTTTCTGCAAGTTAGGTTATGTTGTCATAACACAATACAGCGTTGAATTCACCCAACTTAGAAGCCAGTATTTTTAGTTTCTAAGACATGATGGTATTCATCTTCTGGTTGACTTCAACCACTAAATTTTTTGAAATCATCATACGCTTGTCTTAATGGACCACTGAGATCACATTTTTGACATGTGTGTTATGCAATTTAAATAACGATATCAAATAATATATTAAAATGGACTTTTTGTGCTCTTGTGTTGGTAATGTTGAAATGATTTCATAAAAAAACACTCTCTTTAGCACGAATTAGCAATGAATGCTTTTAGATGCATTTGAAATTCAATTCAACTTATATTCGATTTATTTTGCGTATTACTAAGTAGCCACGACTTTGTTCTCCATTGAGTTAATATTTTTCATATCAGTTGTATGTCCAAGAAAGTTCACTGAGTTTGAAGAAATATCGACCATGGAGTGTCTGACGGCTCCACTACCCGAAATATTCCCTTACGAAAAAACCTCAATGACAAACATACCGGGAGTCAAAGTTGATGGGATTAAAACTTTTGTTTAGTAAAGGCCGATATGAATGTATATTCAAATTAAGCTGATTAGATGTCGTGAGAAATGTGCAGCGATTGGCGATCATGAATTGATAAGCTGCATCAAACACTTGAACTCGAACGTCACGAGTAAAAGTTTTGAACGACTAAACAGGGTATGACGTGAGTTTTGACGATATCTTTATCCTTCATATGAATTCGATTTCGAGCTTCTGTTCATATCCTGGAATGTAGCAATTAAGTGGTATTTGTGTTAAGCGGTAACTCTCTATTTGGGTTGATACGCGAGCTAAATTATTATCTTTAGTGTGATGAGATCCAATGTTGAGCATCAAGGAACGCAAGATTATGGGTGAGGGTCTAAATAGTCACAAGCCCAGGGATGAATGAACTTCGATCTCTACCGTTTCTACTATTATCGCAGTTCGTAAGTTTACTTTTGACAATGCGCGTGTTCCTCTAAAATCAATCCGATGTATAGCATTTCTGACTTCAAAGCTCTTATAGAATATTAGCCGAACGTACACACCGACTGTATAATATGATGAATAAATGTATTCAAACTGATTTTCTAATGTCGGTAGAACTAGATGAGTACAAATGAATTTATCATATTTGAAATTCATTGTAAGAGGGAATCAAGTAAAAGGAATCATCAGTTAGTACAAATACCACAGCTTAAATGAGATTCCTAATTTTTGTAATCGGTTGTACTTCTCCTAAAGTTCATCACGTGTCTGTCCGATAGCGTATTGGATATATACACTGTATGATCTAGAATGTACCCATTAATGTTGAGATTAACAACCGAAATTGGAAATTAGAAATTTGATCGGCATGACGGTTGGGCATACGATATCATTGATACCTTGAATTTTGCACGGAAAATTTTCCAACACTATTAACCACAATTCGTTTGACTGGTCGGAGGTCATTACCACGATAATACTTAACTTCTAAAGACTTTAGACACTACATATTCTGTAGGAAAATCCTTCTTCTTCGTCACAGAACGTTTGTCAGTTCCATATTGAAGTCGGAAAGTGTATATTTCCCTCTCCAGTTCATAAAATGTCGAGGTGGCAATAGATTCAGTAGCAGTTATTAATGTACTGAAAAACGTCTATTCCAGACTACTACAATAAAGGTGCTTGGGATCGGGAAACATGTGTTTGTACTCCATACTACGTAACTAGTTAGTGGCTGTGTCCTCAGAAACATGAGAGTAATTATCATTCATTAACACCATTGGAACCTCTTCTCGACTACCAATTCCTCTTATTACTTGGACTGTGAAGCAAGGACTCAGTGAAGTTATGAAAAAACTTCGGGTCACTTCGGAAAAGTATCAATAGCTATTAGTGCATAGTATTCGTCAAGAAATGGACCACAATAGTCTGTATAAACTCTCCGTCATGTCTCGAGCGATACTGGCTATGGAGCCCACTTCGAAGGATGGCATTTCAACTTATGAATTTCACCGCACGATATATGTCTACATTTATCTCTGGCCACCAACATATGAGACTTGCCAAGAACTTCATTCAAAATCAACCCCATGGAACAGAGGTAATCAGTTCGGTCGATCAAGACATTACAGTCAATATGGTGAGTGACATTAAAACAATATTAAGTAAAGGAAAGATGGAGCTGTTTCTTAAAATTCAATGACATCTTGGAAATACTTAGGATCCAAAAGCCACACACCATGTAGTGAAAATAACTGCAATCAATTTCAAGAATAAAAATCAGTAAAGAAAACGCAAAACAAGATGGAAAAATCAGTATAGTACGGAAGTACGAAGAGCTAGTCAGAAAAAAGATGGTGAATGCGTATGAGCGTATAAACAACAAATCTTGCAATAAAGTCATTTTATAGCTCAGAACAACCGATTCTTCTCTCAGAATTTCTGCATAACCGAGTTAAGCAACAGCAAGTTCGCGTGAAACGTAGTTTGGAAGATCCGTAATATATTTCTCAGTTAAACACCGCTAGAAAGCGTTAAGTTTCTGATCATGAACTATTTTATCAGAAATAAGAACAGTGAGATCATCTTGATGAACTTCAACACTTTCGTGATTACTCACCACATTATTCATCACTTTCTGAAATGTAGCTGGAGAACAACTTGAAGCAAATGGAAGTGATGTGTATTTGAACAGGTCAAAACTAGTGTTAATTGTCGTGAAAATAGATCGAGATTGATCAGAATAAATTTAAGGATAAGAATCATTTAAGTGAGCACTTTCGAATCATGAAGTTGATTCAGACTATCTTTAGTTTCCACCGTCCTGCATGACTGCTTCAACAAACTGTAGTTCAATTTTAATATATAATCAGTACATAGTCTAGGTGTCTTGCCATCAGAATTCGATGAATACCAATACCTCTTCTGCACTTGGCACACACAACTATCAAATAATTAGGTAAAGCATCAGTATCTTGTTTAGCAAATAAAACTCAACTCGTCATGAAATGAGTAAGGAAAACTTTGTAATCGGTGCTCATTAAGAGAAGAACTGAAATTATTTGACTGAATAGTGTTATACTAAATGTCGCTAGCATAACTATGTTTTTTAAGTTGTGCTCAAATTTTGATCTTGTTTTTTATAAGTTTGACCTCCGATATATTTTGTTTCACTCGGCTTTAGATTTTGTAGTTCAACAGCTTTGCTCCACAAACCTAAAAATTAAAGATTTGTTGTATAACTGTTATATTTATTATTCGAACAATATATTTTTGCCGGTTACTTATAATACGCTCATAAACTTTCATACCTGAACCGAACTTGGTTTTCTTGTTATTTAAGTCATAGCATACGAGTGGGTCGATCGACCGTGCGCCAATAATAGACCAGAGAGAAACTTGGCTATAACATTTTTGACTATGGAAAATACTTTCCATAAAGTACATGATAATTAGGAGCACCGAGCCTAACAAAAACACAAACTACAGGGTTCATCATCACTAGTGGCAAAATGAACAGTGATTTAACAAACAGACTTGATGGGTCTTGCTTTAGCACCCTTGAAGCTTATGGCATGACGATAAGCACATGGATTACTTGAGAGATATTTACAATATAATAAATAATCACCGAATTTCTGCTCACCTTTGTTTAGCGCTTTGCAGTTTATCAATGAATTGTTTGTTATGTTCTCACGAAAATGAAGATTATCTTTAATTACCCGTTCACCACTGTGGCCTTGTGTACGAACTGGATTAGGAAAATGATATAATGTAGCGATAGTATTGATGCTTCATAATTAATATGTGCAGTTCTATTATCTAAAATAGGACGCTTCGGTATTTGTATAGACTCACTTTCCGAATCCGGTATGTTAAACTCTGCATCGATCAAGCACCTGCACATGAAGTTGTTCACGAAGATAACACTCGAAGGCTTGTTTCTTGATTTTGACGATAAGTTATCTAACCTCCTGGATATTCTAACGGAACGCTCTACAAAATCTTGTTTTTTTGCAACATTCAAAGTTTGTACACTTTACATGACTTATAAGTAATTCTTTGTGAGTTTTGTAGGAAGGTGAAATAAGCTTATCTCGAAATGTCAGTGTTTAGTGGGCTTTATAAATGTAAGTAAATAAGCCAAAATTTTATCATCCTTAACATCTTTCCTGGTCATACTCCAGATTTCGAACCTTTCCATGTTATGTTCGAAAGCTTCGGAATTTGAATGTATATCCAAGTGCTCAGTTCAAGGTTTCATCACGACGCCAATGTGATAATTACGAGTGTTCAAATCATTGTATTACCTAGCGATGCCAGAAACAGTGAAAATTTAGGCAGGTAGAACTAGATGCGCAAAAATGAGAGTATTGTATTTAGAATTCGTAATCAGCGAGAATCAAGTACAAATAAATCATTAGTTCGAACAAATAGCATACATATCCACAAATAATGAACGATACGATACTTTGTCTTCACGACATTTTGAATCGCTGTTACGGTGTTATTTTATCGTACATAGAATTGTAGAACATGAATGCATGTGAATTGTTTGTACGCTCACTAGTCTGCTCATAATCGCATGTTATAACTACCCATTTTCTCCGCATTTTAACGATATTCATCTACTTTGTTTACTTAAGTATGAAACTTCCGTATATTACAATCGCCCATCACATGGCACTATACTCTATACTTTTTGTTAACATTAGCCGTATACCACTCCTGTTTTATTCTCAAAACATCTTTTCAACTTAATATGACATTTTCTACATGGGGTATTTCTAGGGGCTGATACTGTATCATGTTCATAAAGGCTATTTCGGCTTCTGTTCCAACCAGTTCATTCGTTCTTCTCAAGCCACATTTTGACC